AGTAGCACTGCCTTTTCAGTAATGCCAGAATGAAAACAGACAACCAGTATAACAATTAAAATGACACTAGATTTGGAAACGCAGAGAAATTTCTCATTATTATAACATTATCTCACTATCAATAACTCTAACTAAATTTTATATTTATATTTAAACTGAAACAGAATATATTATTTTGCTAAATTTGATCTAGACTAAATTAACATCTAGAAATCGCATGTGGGAACTCATTACTAGATATGTATGTACATATATTCATTTATATTACCATTAAAATATTTAGAATACTTAGCTGCCATGTATTTATAATTCTGATATTTAAAAAGGTGGCTATAGAAATTTGAAAATACATATACCTGTGCATAAAAAAGTGTTAAAAGTTTATGTACAAAATCTCACTAGTGAAATTGTTACAAAGCCCCACAAAATAATATTTATGTTCAAATACTGTCTATAGCCTAATGAGAGTTAGAACTATAACTCGGCAGTAAAGCATTTGCTTGGTATTTGCCCACACAGTAAGCTTTAATTATGCAGAATTGAATAGACCAATGATCAGGCCCATAGCCAGGATTTTGATTGGGGGAGGGTGGGGAGGGTTGAGTCTGAGTGAAAGAGGGTCTACCCTAGCAAACCTTTTGTATCGTTACCACAATATCCCCATGCATATGGGATATATTCAATATGGTGATCAGATCATGATGTGAATAAACATAACAGTTTAAATAATGCACCAGTAAGGCCTTCTCGCGGACCACCATGAGAATTTGGGGGGGGGGGGCTGAAGCCCCCAAGCCCTCCCCCCTGGCTACATGCCTGTTGTATAAAAACTTCTTGCATGACATGCATATTTTGCAGCCTTCTTAAGCCAGTATCCATGTGAAAAGCTTGTGAAACTTATGGTGAAGGGAAATGCCCATCTCTGGCACTAGTAATTTTCCCCTCATGTGGACTAAATAAATAAATTTCATTCTCTGGGAAGTACAAATACATTCACGGTGACATAGTCATCACTGAAAACTGTGCAGTTTTTGAAAAAGATTTGCAGTTTAGGATTTTTTATTCAGAAAGTACTATTTACTGTGGAATAAAGTAGTTTTCTGCATGTATGTTTTCAAACACACACATACACTATGCATTTTTTCATGCAGAGTAATTCCTAAACTGAGAGTTTCCAGCTCTCAGCTATAAAAAAATATATTTTTTCAGACATTATTTCTAATTGACTCTGAAGTGTTTTCTAATTTTTGCTACCAGGGGTGCAGTGACGCGATGAGCTACCATATAACTGTAACAGACTGAAAACAACAAATAACCTGGCATCTCCTACCTGTCAGTCACTTGCATTTGGGTTGAATACTGAGATATAGATGGGCCTTTTGATCCAGGTCTTTAGGGTTACTTTTAGGAGGGATCAAAGGGGAAGGTTTCATGAGGATCAGACTGTGTTTTTCACTACCTGCTTCTCATAATGCCTCCTCCTATTAATATATTTTTGACCCGAACTATATTGTCATCCTCAGTACTATTTCTTTTGCATTTTACAGTCGTGCTTTCCAATGTTTTTGCCCTATTTCTGTGTCTCCTATTTGACACTTACAAGGTCTGTATTGCATTTGGGTTGCCACAGGTGTTTTCCACTCATCGTTTGAGCCTCTGTGGCCGTTCTGTCAGTTCTACTACAGCTTTTGCAGGATTTCCTGTTTTCGTTGTGACTCTCATATTCACTTTGGACAACTGGCTGATTTTTTCCATTGCTGAATGAGGGAAGGACTGTGTGCAGCTGTTCCTTATCACTAAGTGCCAGAAGCTTTCTATTCAAAAGATGGAACACAATGGAGTCATTGTCCTGGAACTCACTATGCTAATGCGTATTCACTACATTTCTTCTGACACTTTTTACTTGTGTGTAAAATATGTTGGAGGGGTCTCCTCTATCAGTTTGGTGCTCTCCATCTCCAGAACGTTATGTTGGCTTCTGCACATAGTAGCACATGCTGTGGTGAAGTAGTTGAAGCACTAGGCTACAATAAAGATCCAGTTGGGAAACAATAAAGATGCCACTGGGAAACTCAGGAAATGATCTATGCTAGAAGACAGACAGGAGAAGTGTGTTCTCATTGTTTTTTCTGGACCTCTAAGGGGCTTCCAACATCAACAACTATATTATCCTTCTAGGTAGCCTTGCTGAAATAAGATTAGAGAACACTGTTTTACAGTTTCAATCTTTCTTGGAGGAGTGAAATTCGAAGAGGTGCTGAGGGATTCCTATCTTGGCCATTGGTATGTCTACTCCCTCAAGGCTCGGCTGAGTCCATCATGTCAGTTAATGTGCACATGAAATGCCCGGAAGAGATTCCTCAGTTTTTGCAGTTATGGTGTTATCAATATTTAGCTCACACCTACCTCTTAACTCTCTTTTGCATCTAATTCCACAAACCTTGTTACGGTGGTAAACTGCTGCCTGTTGTTGGCAATAGACTGGATGAGAGTGAACTAGTGAACAAGCTGAAATTTAAACCAAACAAGACAGATATGCTCTTGATCAGCTGAAAGGCAAATCAAGAAGCAGAAACTTAGCCTATGCTGGAGCTCCTGGAGATGTCATATTGGGTTATGATCACAAATGTCTTGATCACATATGCCTGTTTGGATTACTGTAACTGGGTCAATGTGAGATCACTTACTAGGGCAGGTTTAAGGGAACATATTTCAATGTTGCTTGTTACAAGGGTTTCACCAACTACCAGTTTGTTTCTGGGCACAATTCAAAGTGCTGGTCATCAACTATAAAGCTCGATACAGCTGAGATTCAGAATACCAGAAAGATATGTATCTTCCTGTACAAGCCTGTTTGTGTTTATAGTCCTCACAGGAGGACTTTCTCTTAGTTTCACAGACACATCTGGTGAGGAAACATGAGGTGATCTTCTTGATGTGTGCTTTCAGCTTGTAGAATTTTCTTCTAGAGCATGACTTGGAGTGCAGTCTGCAGAAGCAAATTCAAATGTTCTCACCTGTATGCTCCTTTGCTACATGGTATACCCTTTTAATGACATATGCAGGATTTCTGGGTTTCACCAACTACACAATTTCCTATCCACATACTTCCTTAAAGAAAAACGCTGTAGAATTCCCTCCCTAGAAATAATAATACCTTAAGTTGTATACTCTCACCCAACCTATTCAACTTGTATGCAGAACACATAATGCGATGTGCGGGGCTTAACAATTGCAAGGCTGGGGTTAAAATTGCTGGAATACACATTAACAACCTTAGATATGCAGATGATACCACTTTGACAGCCAAAAGCGAGGAGGAGCTGAGGAGCCTTCTAATCAAGGTGAAAGAAGAAAGTGCAAACGCTGGGTTGCAGTTAAACATAAAAAAAACAAGATTCTGGCAACCAGACTGATTGATAGCTGGCAAATAGAGGGAGAAAACATGGAGGCCATGACAGACTTTATATTTCTAGGTGCAAAGATTACTGCAGATGCAGACTGCAGCCAGGAAATCAAAAGACGCTTACTTCTTGGGAGAAGAGCAATGACCAATCTCGATAAAATAGTAAAGAGTAGAGACATCACACTGGCAACGAAGATCCGCATAGTTAAAGCAATGGTATTTCCTGTAGTAACCTACAGATGTGAGAGCTGGACCATAAAGAAGGCTGACCAAAGGAAGATAGATGCTTTTGAACTGCGGTGTTGGAGGGAAATTCTGAGTGTTCCTTGGACTGCAAGGAGATCAAACCAGTCCATACTAAAGGAAATAACGCCCGACTGCTTATTGAATGGAAGGATATTAGAGGTAAAAATGAAATACTTTGGCCACATAATGAGAAAATAGGAAAGCTTAGAGATGACAATAATGCCAGGGAAAATGGAAGGAAAAAGGAAGACGGGCTGACCAAGGGCAAAATGGATGGATGGTATCCTTGAAGTGACTGGCTTGACTCTGAAGGAGCTGGGGGTGGTGACAGCAGACAGGGAGCTATCGCATGGGCTGGTCCATGAGGTCATGAAGAGTCAGAAGTGACTGAATGAATAAGCAACAACACGAATAATAACAATAACAACAACAACGCTTTATTTATAACGCACCATCTCTCGCCATGGGACTCAGGAAGGATTCATTTTCTCCCCTTCTGCTTTACCAGAAGCCTTTGGGACTTACTGGCTGAGACATTTGCAGTCAAAAAACAAGATTTCAATATAGTGGATAAGTAAAATACAATTCACGTTAAAGTACATCAGAATGATGTACCAAGAAAAACTGAATTTATTTTTTTTAAACCTACAAATGCTATGGTTTATAAAGTTTTTGTCAAAAATACACAACAAAGAGTCCTGTTGTATTTTCAAATCTAACATGGTTAAGCTGAAATCTGATTCCTACAGACCTGGAAGAAAATTTTATTCAACCGAGTGCTGATTATTTCTAAGAAGACATTATTACCTAAATCCAACTGTTAGTCCCTACTACAGCAGAATCAATGAAAACCATTTAAATATTCAGTTATCAAGGTTTCACTGATTTAAACAGTCTGTTATGTTTCTGTTGAATAATTAAGCATTCGATTTGAAGGACTATATTGTTAAATGTGCTCAAGGTTTTTTTTCCTTAATTACTGTAAAATAGAACTAATGATAATTATTTTCAAGCTCTGGCTGGACTAGGTGGACCTTTGGTTTTATTCAGCGGGGCTCTTACGAGTATCTGTAGGACTATTTGTATCTGTTCAAAAAGACTTCCCACATAATTTTTAATATTACATAACAGAAATGCAACCTAGATTAGATACAGCACAATTAAGAACCACTCAAATATAATAAAGTATTTCCTATGCTCTGCAGATGTAAAAATAAGAATGTATGCTCCTTTCTGAATCCTCTATATAGACTAACAATATTACTAAAGTGTTCATTGTATCCTACATGTTAGAGCATAACTGCAAGGAAATCAGGCAGAAAGATGTGAATAAATTGAAGCATCTTACATGAATAGTTCTTTATAATGGCGCACTTCAGCTGCTGATTTCTGGAACTGGAATTCAATTGTCTCTATCTGGCTTGTTAAATCTGAAATGAGAAATTATTATTATTACACTCAGCTTTATAATTATTAATAATTACAGAGCCAGACATAATTACCTACAGATAGCTATTTGTAATTTGATCCTTTCCTCAATAAATATGATATAACTACTGTATATGCTCATGTATAAACCGATGGCAGGTTTTCAGGCCCACATTCTGGATTTTAATCTGGCCAGTGTACAATCCAAATTCTTAAGATCAGCCCTCCAGGTCCCAAGATGTGTCTCTAATGCCACCCTACATCTGGAGATAGGCTTCCTGAGAACTGAGGCCTGGGTTTGGGTGGTTATATTGAACTATTGGCTTAGACTATCCCTCTCTCCCCTTGTCCTTGCACCTCTTACTATGTCAGATGGCTTTCAGTCCAGTTGGGATAAAGCAATAGCAGCCAAAATTCCACCCTTAGGCTTCTCTCCAGGACTGCTAACCAGTATGGGCTATGACCAAGCCAAATCTCTGATTAAACAACGAATAACTGACATTGAGCACCAATTAGCCTTAGCCAATTCTCCATCCTTTATTATTGATGGAGTCAGTAGGTTTTGTACCTCCCCTATGAAATATCTAACAATGCTAGATGTTTCCAGCCACCGGAGGGTCTTCACTCTGGCATGTTGCCATGCTCTCCCATCTGCCATATTGGAAGGTCAATACCAGAAGATACCCATATGCCGAGAGACTGTGCCCTTGTGACTCAGGTCATATAGAGACAACAGAACATGTGCTTCTGCAGTGCCTGCTATATAGAGATATTTGATCCCGTCTCATTACGCCATGGCTACTCAAACAACCAGGATGCTCTGGACAATTTTACATCTCCCTGCTGCTTTCAGATACGAACTTGGCTATAAGTTATAACATTGTAAAGTTCTGCACAGCAGCTACTAAAATCCAGCAGGCAATGACGAATAGCACCAGTACAAGTCAAGATTTCATACTAGCAGAAAATTGATTATAGTTCTTTAATTCTAATCTTTTTATTATATTAATGGATGTTGCTCCCTCCTCTGTCTGGCTGGACTTCCCTTACCTGCGCTACATGAGCACCCCAATCCCCTCCATTCAGACTCCCTCCCTTTTAAATCCATTAATTTTGATATACTCTTGTCTTGATGTTCTGGAAATGATGCACTTGTTTTAAGGTTTTAGAGTTTTGAGGTTTTAAAGTATTGAAGTTTAAAAGTTTTAAATCTCTTGACCCTTAGACTTGATGTGTTTGTGTGGGACTCTGTCCCTCTTCTCATGAGCTGGTCATTTACCATAATTAAGTGAACTTGAACCTTTCAATGATACTTGAGGCATAGGGTATTTATTTAAATTTTTAAAAGGGGTAACACCACTCCATTGTGGTATATATTTTAAAGTTACTTTTACAGTTATATTTTAGTCCTTATTAAATGAGAAAAAAGGACTATCACATGGTTCAACTGCTGTCTCATGTTGTGACGCTTCCTTTATTGTATATATTTTTAAGCAACTATGAGAGAGGGGAATGTGATTTGTATCAAAGCAAGAAGTCTGATGAATTCAAATTTCTCAAGTAATTAAAATGCATTTGTTTTACTTACTCTGGAGAAATGGGAAAGAAAGCCTTTTTTAAAAAGAAATGGCAACTATGATGGCAACTAACATCTTGTAGCAAATGGGAATATAAATGGTAATTAATTCATTTTACAACTGCATTTCAAAATCTGTTTATATTTTGCTTCCTTCTCCAGAAGGTAGCTCACAAACTCTACACAGATACACTTACAGACATATTTACAACTGGTGTTATAATTGCCTCTCTTGGCTGTTTTAGTAAACCCTGCAGCTTGTTAAACTTAGATGACTGGAGGGAGTCAGGGCTTCTCCTGCCTCTTCGGAATTCATTAAGGGTTGCATTCTCCTTTCACCATTACTTTAAAAAGAAAGCACGGCTGTCACATTTCAGGAGCTGGGATTTTTCATAAAAAAGCAAAAATCCCCCTATGACCCTACATAAAAACAAACAAGGTTACACCATATGCAACAGCCAATCTGATTTCATTTCATCGCAAGGGGAAACGTAATTGAGGAAAAACAGACCGACTGTCTGGCTTGATCAGACTGGGCAACAGTCTTGGTGCTGAAGCAGTTTGTATGTGCAACTATTGTGGATTGCTGCTGATTGTGCTTGGTGAGAATCACTGCACTGGCCTAATAGGAAGTTCAGGTCAGTGACAAGCTGGCAAAACAAGTGTTTATTTTCTGTGCAATGGCGAGACTGCAGAAAAGCAAAAACCATAATTGCCATTTTTGCAGCCTAACTTGCTGCCAGCAATGGCACCACTTGGTGGTGCCAGGGGCCAGCAGTGAGTGAAGGTCACATGCAGCCTAAATGTTAGCCAATTCTGCTTTAAAGTACAGTATAATACCACATAGACTTGTATGTAAGACAAGGACAGACTTTGAGCCAAAATTATGGTTTTTGATATATGCCATGTATAAGTTGAGGGTCATTCTCTGGAGAAGGAAAAGCCACAATGCTACCTCAATGAGGCAGCCTGGCCACCCAAACTTTGAAAAAGTTCGGAAGTGGTACTGCAGCAGACAGAATTGAATGAGTTGGTGCTTCTTTGAAGTTTTCCCAGCATGGGCTAAGCTCTTGCCTTTTGCCACTTTCAGAGAAGAGGATGATTTCTTTTTTCATAAGAGTTAAGGTACAGTACTCAAACTGACCCAGGAATAAGTTGACCCAGGTTTTTTGGACTGATTTTTTGACTAATGTTTTTGACTAAATACATGGATATATAGGGCAATTGCCTTTCCCTATGAAAACACAAATACATCAGCTACTTCCTGTTAGAAAGAAGAAGGCACAAACAACAAAATCATTTCTTACAAGGGATAGCTAAGAAATGGGGATTGTTCTTTCAATGATACTTGAGGGTACTGGTCTTAATTTGTTTTTCACAGCCCTCAATAAAACTAGACACAATATGTGAAGACCTACTAAATCAATGAGAGCTTGGGAGTCCCACTTAGGAAAATCTGTTGCTTCAATATGTTTTTTAATTAGAATTACTAATTGCTTTATAGATTTGAGTTTGGAAATAATGTGCTTCAAGTAACATTACCTGAATAGATATTTCAGTAGCAATATTATCAAGTCCACTACTTTTATAAAGGTTTTCCCTTGACATTAAGTCTAGTCATGTCCGACTCTGGGGTGGTGCTCATCTCCATTTCTAAGTCAGAGAGCTGGCGTTTTCCATAGACACCTCCAAAGTCATGTGGCCAGCATGACTGGATGGAGTGCCATTACCTTCCCATTGGAGTAGTACCTGTTGATCTACTCATATTTGCATATTTTCAAACAGCTAGGTTGGCAGAAGCTAGAGCTAACAGTGGGAGCTCATCCCACTCCCAGGATTCGAACCACTAACCTTTCGGTCAGCCAGTTCAGCAGCTCAGAGGTTTAACTTGATGCATCACCGGGGGCTCCACTACTTTTACAAAAGCAATATAATGATGGCAGTACTGTGGTTTTTTAGTTTAAAAAATTAGATTTATTAACATTTCCAAAAACACTGATTTTAGAGGAGAACATTTGGAGCGGATTTTTTTACCATTTTTATTTATATTAAAGTTTTACATTATTTTAAATGTACACGTTTGGAATTTAAGAGCTTTAATTGATGTTAAGAGCTAATTTATTAGCTTCAAATAAAGCTGACATATTGAACAAATGGGATTCAGTTAATCAGCACTTATAATAACCCCCACTGATTCAATGATTTTGTTGTAATTGCAGTTAACAACTGGGTTTAGCTCTTTTGGTAGTTTAAGTCTTTTTATTCCTAAATAATAACTAAAAAGCAATCTCTTCGTGATGAGTGATGCAACAAGCCACATCTTAGTACTGAGCAACACCATCAAGCCGCCTTTAAATGGTAACGACTCACAAATTACTTGTTAAAAATTACATTTCCACCTCTGGCCTGGTTTGAACAGATGCTAAACCTGTATATAATGTTGAAACACATTTTTCATATTCCTTTGAGGCACAAAAGCTACAGGTTTATATTATACTCCAATAAATCCAAACTGGCAATTGATTATGATCCCCCCCCCCCCTTATGATGTCCTAATCTTAATATGGAGCCACAATTCCTCCCTCCAACAAGCATTCCGTGGAAGCAACCATCCATCAAGCTGTGATGAAGAATGGGAGAAAGGCAGAGTTACCATCACCTTCTCAGTAAGACCAGCAACTTCTGGCTCCCATTCTCTTTGACGTATTTTTCATTACAGCTACTTATGCTAAGACCTTTGCACTACCAGAATTGGGGGTGGGTTGGTTTCCCTCACACTTCCTTCTGAGTCCTGCTGGCCTGGTTTTCTTTTGTGCGGTGTCGTTCAGATTGTAAGCCTGAGGGCAATGTCTGCCTGATGTTTTAGTGTTATGTAAACTGTTTTTGCTTTTATTGGCTTCAGAATTGGGTACAAATGCTTTACATGATAAATGCATAATGTATTACAAAGTGCAATACACCCTTCACTGGTGGTAGGGATATTTTGAAACATTTAATCAACTGAGCCTACAAAAATTAAGATAACTAACTTGGACAAAGGGAAAGTTAAGTGGGGATCAATTTATATTTTGCATTCTGGAAGGTTTTAGCAAATCCTTCATCTGTATCAGACCAACGCAATGTATGAAATGAGACTTCAGACATTTCTCTTGCAGAAAAATTTTTAATGATGAAGAAGACTAATATATGAGCTGTATGTAGTGAAAGGAGAATGCAGGAGTAACATAAGATAGTCACTAGGTGTTCCCACAAAATTTCACAATCCCTGTGGCCAGATTGTTAACAAATGTCATTTGATCATAACCACTGTGTTAATTTAGCAAGGCTATTTTCCTGCCATTTGAAATTATTCCTATATGTAGCCAAATTGTAAAGTTTTGTCCTTATCTAACGTTTCATGAATACCAGAACTAGGGATTGTACATA